ATACAAAAAAAAGTGTTTACTGCAAAATTCCAAATTACATCAAGGGCAGTCCACAAGACAATGTGCTTGACTATTTTCTGTGCTTGACAGTAAGAAAAGGGGCATCACACTGTGAAAAGTAACCTGAGAGTTATGTTAAAAAATCACAGAGAACAGAAGTGTGAAGTTTCAACCCATTCAATTCAGTACAGAAACTAACTTGCATGCATAATCATAACCAAAGTGTGATGGGGACACCAATGCCGGGCAGTGTACAAAAACCCTTTTCTTCAAATAGTCGGCTAAAAAATTCTTAACAAAGAACATCATATACATTTCTTTAGCACAATATATATCACTGCAATCAAAGCATATGGATTACATATAAAAGTATTGTTATATTTTACCAAGTAATGGTTTAGCAGCACTATTACTTCCTGTGGATCCTAATGGGGAAACATGCACATCTACAGCTGTCTCCCTACAGGACACCTTCCTCTGTATACTAATGTCAGCACCCTGGTTCTGGCTGTTGATTGTCTGGTTTCCTGATGGTTGTAAGGAAGGATCTAGGTGAGAATCTGGATGTTCAACAAGACCTTCCTTACTGAGGTCCAGAGAGGCACTCAACCAGAGATTGATACGAGCCGACGTCGATGAAACATCAAATATCGATGGATGGTTTCCCTTTGAAGATGTTGTATTTTTCATCTATTGCAAAGAAACAAAATACATTTAAACTACTGCTTTTACCTTAAATAGAAATACAACTTTATGAAACTGATAAATATTTGTGTGTACAATTAAGGAAATTTTGATTATTTTTGAAAAGTAAGTCACATAAACACAATGTTAGTGTATTTAAAAATGAGAATATAATGTCTCCTGAAACAAAATTTGTTGTTTTTATCTGTAACTAAATATTACCGGCTTATCTTGCTGAGGTTTCTTGGTTACCATGCTGGGCTTATACTGGTGTGGAGCAGTGCCAAATGCCAAATTGCCAGGCTTGAGGAAATCTGGTTTCTGACTTGGAATTGGTGCAGGTCCACTTGGATGACAGCATCCATAGTACAATAACATAAATATAGTACCTAGCCAAAATAAAAATATTACACAGTCACTGAATAAAGTATACTGGAGAAAATATGGTTTCTTCAAACAAAGAAAAACAAGAGCTGTCGGTAGGACAGCAACGCTCGACTATTCTTAGTGCTTGATAGTAAAAAAAAATGCTTGATATAGTTACCTCCTCCTGTTTACAGGTTGGGGTCATGATGGTGAACAAGTGTGCAAAGTTTCAAAGCCATATGTCAATGGACTTTGAAAATATTTGAACTATTACAAAAACTTTAACGTAAATTCTAAGTCCAAAAAGGGGCATAATTCTGTCAAAATGCTTGATAGAGTTACCTCCTCCTGTCTACAGGTTGGGGTCATGATGGTGAACAAGTGTGCAAAGTTTCAAAGCCATATGTCAATGGACTTTGAAAATATTTGAACTATTACAAAAACTTTAACGTAAATTCTAAGTCCAACAAGAGCTGTCGGTAGGACAGCAACGCTCGACTATTCTAGTGCTTGATAGTAAAAAATAATGCTTGATACAGTTACCTTCTCCTGTTTACAGGTTGGGGTCATGATGGTGAACTAGTGTGCAAAGTTTTAAAGCCATATGTCAATGGACTTTGAAAATATTTGAACTACTACAAAAACTTTAACATAAATTTTAAGTCGAAAAAGGGGCATAATTTTGTCAAAATACTTGATAGAGTTACCTCCTCCTGTCTACAGGTGTGTGTCATGATGGTGAACAAGTGTGCAAAGGTTCAAAGCCATATGTCAATGGACTTTGAAAATATTTGAACTATTACAAAAACTCAAACTTAAATTCTAAGTCGAAAAAGGGGCATAATTCTGTCAAAATGCTTGATAGAGTTACCTCCTCCTGTCTACAGGTTGGGGTCATGATGGTGAACAAGTGTGCAAAGTTTCAAAGCCATATGTCAATGGACTTTGAAAATATTTGAACTATTACAAAAACTTTAACGTAAATTCTAAGTCCAAAAAGGGGCATAATTCTGTCAAAATGCTTGATAGAGTTACCTCCTCCTGTCTAAAGGTTGGGGTCATGATGGTGAACAAGTGTGCAAAGTTTCAAAGCCATATGTCAATGGACTTTGAAAATATTTGAACTATTACAAAAACTTTAACATAAGTGGTTACGCGGACGCCGACGCTCGGGGTACTACAATAGCTCTACTTATTCAATGAATAGTCGAGCTAAAAATTAACAAATCATGTTTTTTATTGACAATATCATAACCCTGAACCCTCCATTAAAAACTTCAAACCTTTCAAGCCAGACTTACTTCAATAAAACAATGTAATTTTCTAACATGAAAAACTCTGCATTGAAGTGATTAGGACAATCTTTTTATAATACTGAAGTCACATCAAGTTTTAATGAATACCTTCGATACTCTTGATGACTAAGTAGTCAAGTTCACAAACAGCCATAAATCAATCAAAATCTATACAAGAGTACATATTATAATCCCAAAATAAGAGCGTTTCAAGTTATTATACCTTTAGTAATTGTTAAGTTTATTCTGCACACTCAAGATAAACCAAGAATTTTAAAAGCTCACAAATGGCCATTAATCGGTCAAAATCTAAGCTAGAGTTATGAGCCTTCAAAAAATAACCTTAAATCAAATTTCTCAAAGACATAAGTGAAGTTTTAAGCAAACATCTTCAGTGGCTGATATAAATTTTATATTGGTTGAATAACTGATTGGTTGAAGCACAAGAAAATAGGATAGTCTCACTATTCTTTAACAATCAGAAAAGCTGAAAAGATTCTTTAATTGAAATATTAAAGAAGAAAATATTAGAATTTGGACTCTATTCAATAAGGACTGTCAAAGTTTTAGAAAGTCATACTTTTAATTCTGAACACTCTTGATAGGAAACATAAGTGCAGTACCTTTGATAATTAAATTTCATACTTTCTCAAATTGAATGAATATATTATCAAATATGAATTATACATACTAGAGTAACTTGTAAGAAAAAGTACCAAGAATAAGAACTCATTCAAATTCTATTACAATGGATCACAAATGTCAATTATTTCATTTTATTACAATGTTCAGTTGGCTTGTAAGTTGCATCCCCATAGTTGGGGTAATATGGCAGCTTTCTAGCTATACTGTTACAGACAGATTCCAGTTGCCTATCTTTGAGTATAAACACCAACCTTGTGATAGCTAGCTACCTATGTTAAAGGTAATCCAATATTTCCAGTGAATGAGTGCAAACCAAAATCTACAAAATTTTATAAACTGTACCTAAGCCAAAAGCTCCAAATACCACTGAGAAAGCAGTGACATCAAACCAGATAGGCCCACTGTGTGACTTGCACATGTACCATACAGTCATGTATGCTGCAGTCTCTATCAATGCCAGGACATAGTAGAACACCATTCTGTATCTAGAATTGCCATCTTTTAAGTTCAGGAAACAGAATATGTGTATAGCCGCAGCAACTACAGTGAATAGACGACGTTCACATGGCGTTGAACCAAAGTCTGGTTGTAGCTTTATTATCCAGATAAACATTACCACAAAGTGCACACCTGTAATTTAAGCGTAAATTACATGTTATATCATCTTATTTCAAATGTAACAAATATTCTCTGTATAAATGGTTTAACATTGTTTTCTTCACTTTATCAAATGGGCAAAAATCGCAATTTAAACAGTGGTAAGAAATATATTCCATTATACTTAATGGTATGCCAACGTATCCATGAAAACCTGTAGCGCTTAAGAACTTGATAAGTAATAAATTCCGTTTTACCTAATGGTATGCCAACATATCCATGAAAGACTGTAGCAAATAAAACGATAGATACAACACGAGCAGTGACCATTCCTGTCTGCCATATCAAATGTGTTACCATGGAAACAAAGCTTCGCTTGTAAAACTTCTTGTATGCCAAGTGTAAAGCATCTGTATATGCTGTTATTGACCATGACACAGAAAACAGAGAAAATACCATTGAAAATCCTGAAATAGAGGATAAAAATTTACTTAACAAAGCTTTACAAATGAATATTCATTTTGTATGTGTTTATTTAATTGAAGTGTATCCCATATAATATTTTAGGTATACAAGTTGAGGTATCCACCTGGAGTAGCAAACACATAGCTTTATTTTAAATATTTCACAGATATAACACATGAACATGATATCCCTTCCAGTTATCTGGAATTTTTGGCAAGTGAGTTTTTCAAAGCTAACCCCTGGTACAAAAAAACTTTTACCATAATAGCTTTTTAGTATATCACTGCTCAAACCAGTTGCACTTATTTTTGAAGTTGTAACTTGTAAGTGTAAAAATTTGTACCCTGAGATTAGCTGGAAAAAAAAACAACATATATTCAATATATTACCAGATTTATTAGGCCTAGAACTGTTTCCTTCATGCTTGTAGCCCCAAGGAAGGAAGACATATAATGCTGATCAATTCACAATTCAACGCCCAACATATCTATCACACAGATGCAAAGGTTTAAATCTCTTTTCGATAAAAATCACTTATCAAATCATACAATGTCAAAAACATTCAAAAACCATGAATAATACTGTGCACATAGCTCCTCCACTCACCAAGAAGTGTGTTGAAGTTCTGTAGGTTTGACAATACTATGTACAGTTGTAGCACTAACTGTGGAGCAGACTCTATAAAAGTTTCGACCAATCGTAAGATGCTGATGTCATTGATGGCCCTGTAAGCTGCACCTAGATCCTCTCCATTTCCAGACTTCCGGGATTTACGTCCAAGTTGTAACACTTTGAAATATCTACAAACAGAAATAGAATACAAAATGTATACACAAGTTTGTTCTTATTAAAGTCAATTGGTCCATAATGGAATGTCTGTAATACCATAAATAATTATGTTGATAGTATTTATTATCACAGGTGGCAACAAACTGCAAACAAGAGGGCCATCAGCCATGATGGCCCTGAAGTCGCTCACCTGTATATAGGCCCACAGAGCAAGGCCAGTTTAAACCCTAGGGCTTTTATTTGAACAAAATTGGTAGACACCCATTAGAAGATGTTTCATGCTAAACATCTAAGGTCTAGCTTGTTGAGTTATTAAAAAAAAGATTTTTTAAGTTTTTACTATACACATATAGTTAAAAGCAATGACATCCCTAGGGCGGGGCCAGTTTTGACCCCAGGGCTTTTATTTGAACAGACTTTGAAGACACTCACTAGAAGGTGTTTCATGCTTAATATCTAAACTCTAGCTATTTGTTTTTAGTAAAAAAAGATTTTTAAGTTTTTGCTATACACATATAAGGAAAATTAATGTCCCCCGGGGCAGGGCCAATTTTGACCCTAGGGCTTTTATTTGAACAAACTTTGAAGACACTAACTGGAAGATGTTTCATGCTTAATATCTAAACTCTAGCTATTTGGGTTTTTTCAAAGAAGATTTTTTTAAAAAGCTTTTGCAATACACATATAAGGAAAATCAATGACCCCCGGGACAGGGCCAATTTTAACCCCAGGGCTCTTATTTGAACAAATTTGGCATGGAATTAAATTCTTTGAACAATTTTCAAAGGTGACCACCAAAGGAACATTCCTGTGAAGTTTGGATGAAATTGGCTTAGTGGTTTATGAGAAGATGTCATTTAAAGTAAAAGTTTACGGACGCCCTGTCACTTTGTGACAGGTGAGCTAAAAAGGGGCACAATTTTGCACAGATTATCTGTCCCTTTGAAATTGTGTCACAATTTGATATACATACCTGTTTATATGTATACCAAGTTTTAAAAGGAACAGCTTTGATATTTTCTGAGAAAAAAAGTTAAGCTAAGAAATGAGTGTATAAATAATATATATCAAATACTATTTTTACAGTAAAGACATTTATTACAATAATGATATCTTTTTTAATTGAAAAAACTTAATCATTCAAAATAATCATTATGTCCATTAAGTATGAAAAAGTAACTCACCTATGGAGAGGTGCCAGGAAAAGAATATGTACAAAGAGCGAGCCAACAGTGAGTGTTCTGTCGGATACATGCCAGTGAAAGCTGAACACTTGCATTAATAGAGCTGCAAGCGCCACAAAACACAAGCTCAATGACCCCCATACTTGATGTCCTTCTGTGAAGAAATATACTATCAGGGCAATATCTGCAAAAGTAAGAAATGCCATTTTGTCACAAATCATATGCTTTTCAGTGTTTTAGAGATTGGAAGTGCAAAAAACTTTGGGGGCTATGCTCTCAATCTATCCTCTACTTTAGTCTCTCATCCTTTTAATACTGAAGCTTCACATTTTTTTGGTGATTTGGTGATTTTGCTCTTTTAGCTTAATACATTGGAAACTATGCATTAAGAGCTTTTGAGTAATACATGAAGTATTTGAATGCATAAAATTTCAAAATCTGTGTTTACATTAAACTTGTGTACTGATAATTACTGCCGATGTAGAAGATAAATTGAATGTTTGCAAAGAAGTTAGGGTGTTTATTTATTTTGATTTGTGAATATGATTGCCACAGCCAGGTGATAAACCAATTTCAATTATTTTACACATAAATAGAGAGCCTTTATTTAAGATGACACATCATGTGTTTTTTTTTATGCGTTTATTTAAGGTCGCCGCCAGAAAGCCCATATGGGCGACCGTACACTCAAGTCGGGCCATCCTAGAGCGTCCCGCCGAGATTTTTCGTCGATTTTTTTCCAGCTTTATTGGTGGAGGAAGACCCCAGGTGCCCCTCCGGGCATTATTTCAGGCACGAGCGGGCACCTGGGTAGAACCACCGACCTTCCGTAAGCCAGCTGGATGGCTTCCTCACATGAAAGATTTCAACCCGAGTGAGGATCGAACCTACAGCGATGAGGGACCTGTGATCTCAAGTCAGCGACCTTAACCACTCGGCCACGGAGGCATGTGTTTAAAAACATTTAGGTCTTATAGCACTTTAAATTGTGCATCAATTGTCTAGCCAGATTAAAGGATTAACATAATCCAGACATAAGAATTTGCACTTTGCATTAAAACTGCATCAATAGGCAGTTGGTCAAGCATGAAGGTATCAAAATTTAGATTTTGAGTCAACTTGTTCTCCAACAGTGGTCAACTTGACACCTTTTTGGTCAACCCATCCTGTGGTCACTAATTTCTTTGGTCAACTTGTCCACTGCTCAACAGCTATTTTTCTATTTAAAATAGATGATAAATTCTTGTTTTAGTATAGTTTAAGACGTTTACGAGGTGGGTTACAAGAAAAATCCCAAATCTACATGTAAATCAACATTTAGAAATTAGAGTAGTGTCAATATTAATTATGACTGCAACACTGACCAATTTTACTAACACTTAAAGTGATATTACATTGATGCCGGTCTGGGCAACCATCGTCTATATAATGAAAATCCCTGGCACACAATTTGTTGGGCTAAATTTAGAGATGATATTTTGCTATAGGACAAGATTTACATATTTACAGACTGTTCACCCCTCAGACACTTCACCCCAAGACATTTTTGCAGACACTTCACGGTCACCTCTCTTTTTATTATGAAATCTGATTTAGACACTTCACCCCCAATTTTTGGTTTTGTGTTTAAGTTAACATAAATGAAGGTGAAACATGTGAGATGTAATCAAATTATGGCGATTAAAAATATTCATAGTTGATCATATTTAATATGATCATTATTAAATGTAAATCTACCTTTTTTCTAAAATATTATTTTAATTAATAATTGCAATGATAGTTTCACCGATTAATGTAACTTAAATTTTATCACTCATTTGAAGGGTGTGATTATTTTTTTCATAGATATATGATGATACCTTAATCCCTTTCACATATACATTGTACTTTAATCCCTTTCACACTTCCTTTGTTCTTTAATTGACATATATACTACCTTAAAGGTTTACCATTTAGGTTGACTGTTACACATGTATACATTTCTGTATATCAGTTATATAGCTGCATGTTTATTGATTTTTTTTCTATTTATGTGTTTTAATTGTCTTTCATGTCAATAACTCATGTTTACATGTTGTAATAAATTCACGTTACAATTCATTATTCATTTATGTTACCAATACCTATAAAAATTTTAATTGCTCTTACAATATATTTCATAATGAGTAAATGTATGGTAACTATAGTTTAAATGGTCTTCAGGTCTTAGATGGTATAATATTATATTTAAATGTTATATATATATATAATTGAAATACTTACTCTATCAATTGACTGATAGTTCAGCAATTTGTCAATATTAGATTGTGAAAAGGGGATTTAAAATTTGAACAGTGGTGAAAAACAAGAACTGTCGGAGGACAGTAACGCTCGACTATTCGAAAAGTTGTCACAAGGGTGTTTCATTGAGTATAATAATGCTTACCTATAATGAATACATAAAATTGTCCGAAAGGTACAAACCCTTCAGTAGTTATGGAGATACCAGCTTACAAGCAAAAATTTACCTAGAATTTCTAAGTCGAAAAAGGGGCATAATTATGTAAAAAAGCAAATCAGAGTCATGGGACTTTTGCCAATCATCTAAGATAATCACAGACAACAAGAGTGTGAAGTTTCAATCCATTCCCTTCAGTAGTTATGGAGATACCAGCTTACACGCAAAAACTTAACCAAGAATTTCTAAGTCAAAAAAGGGGCATAATTATGCAAAAAAGCAAATCAGAGTTATGAGACTTGAGCCAATCATCTTAGATAATCACAGAGAACAAGTGTGTGAAGTTTCAATCCATTCCTTTTAGTAGTTATGGAGATACCAGCTTACAGGCAAAAACTTAACCAAGAATTTCTAAGTAGAAAAAGGGGCATAATTATGTAAAAAAGCAAATTAGTTATGGGACTTTTGCCAATCATCTAAGATAATCACGGACAACAAGAGTGTGAAGTTTCAATCCATTCCCTTCAGTAGTTATGGAGTAAAAATACATGCTATCTTAATAACCTTTCAAAACTTTAATGCCGCGATAGATGAAAGAAAAAAATGCTAAAAACGGCATTAAGTTTTGGAAGACAAAACCACAGATATATATATAAATCTTATAGTTAGCTCCATGACAAAACCAACAGCCAACACTGCATGGGGCGGCTTCCTCCATCAGGTCTAGTATATTGCCAGATTAGTGCATGATGCACCAATATGTGTATGATGCACTAATTGGTGTATTTTATGATGCACCAATTGGTGTACCAGACTATCATTCAAATCTATGAAGACCCATTATTTTGTAAATATAGCAGTGTGAATTGTGGCACCTGCACTTACTATAGATAATATTCATAGAAATATCCTGAAACAAAAGATATTGATGTAAACACTGGCAATTCTTGCACTTTTTTGAAAAACTGAATGATACACTAATTGGTGCATCCCAAAATTGAAAGTGGTTATTTTTTTACTTTCCAGTCAAGAGACAATTTTAAAACTAAGTATACCAGATCAGAATAATAACTAGATATGAAATATGGAAATGAATTTATGTCTGAAAGATACAATTTTTCAGTGGATGAAAACATTAAAATCTCCTAAAGTTCATTTAGATCAGAAGTTGTGTTTATTCTTTGTCAATAAAACAGACTATTACCAATGTTATGTTCAGGTGCCAAAACATGATTATAAATAAACAACAAATTATAAACAGAAACGCATTTATCAAAACTTTTATTCACCGATCAGTGTATGATTAAATACATCAATTTGTGTATTATGTACCAATTTGTGCATCATACACTAATCTGGCGATATACTACATGTATCGTGGACTAACCAGTTCTCAAACCTCTAAGCATTCAAGAGGTCTTATAATGTGAATAAAAATATATCTTTATAAAAATTCTTTACATATGTACACTTTAATCTTTATGTAACATTTCTGTAAAATTTGACTGAAATTCAACTATTAAAAGAGCTCGATTTCCAACTTGGAATAGCACAACCCTCTGTTTTAAAACTAACATGGCCTCTTAAAATAAAGAACCTAATCTCAAACCCCTTCAAGTATCTCTAAAATTCTACTGTTTAGTTTAGTCAATGAAGTGATTGTTATATGACTATCACATGACAATGAAGTACCCTACACAATGCAGTTACCTGCTTTAAGATATTTTGTCTATAATATTCATTTTCACAAATAGTTAATGGTGTATTAATGGGACTTACAAAGGTAATAGCAATTTGTATGAAATTACGCTAAGTAATAAAATATGTTATGTAAATATTTGTTGGGATCACCTAAAACCCGTGACAATATCTAATTCCGTGACGACCGTGACGACATAAATCCGTGACATGTACCTAAAATCCGTGACACACTGAATTTACCGTGATATATAATGCAAGGCACTAAATACCGTGACGAACTATATTCGCCGTTATTCGTCTGTCATGAAGGGTAGCTAAAACCCGTGACGATGCAACTTATCCTAATGATAATGATTCTTTTTTTCTTTTTTTTCTTCAGTTAATGAAAACATAACATTATGACATGTAATGAATTAAAATCCGTGACACACTGAATTTACCGTGATATATAATGCAAGGCACTAAATACCGTGACGAACTATATTCGCCGTTATTCGTCTGTCATGAAGTGTAGCTAAAACCCGTGACGATGCAACTTATCCTAATGATAATGATTCTTTTTTTCTTTTTTTCTTCATTTAATGAAAACATAACATTATGACATGTGATGATCGAATTAAGGGAAATGAGTAAAACAAGTGACGATAAAGTACAGTATTAAATTTATTTTAAATTTAAACTAAAGTTTTAAAGTATATATTATACATTGTACACTACATGCGTTTTTTTCGTCGTATGTTTCTCTTTTGGGGGTGTGTACATTTTGTACAGAAATATGGAATGTCATCACCAGGAATGTCATCTTTTTGTAGACCCTCACATTCTGGATGGTACCATATTTTGCATTTATTGCAAACAACATACAAACCATCTTCTGGCATTCGGCAAGAACAAAACACCTTAAGAAATGCCGTGTATCTGACACCATTCGGGTGCTCGAGCGACCGGGTGCCAGCGGGAAATGGCACAAGCTTACCCTTTTCCAAACATTGAATCAGGTGACCACGAAGCAGTTCTACGTCATACCTTTGGGTGCAGGGATCTAT